CTGCTATGTTACCTGAAGGATGGGTGGGACTCGCAAGAGGTCTCCTTTAGAAAGAAAAGTGTTCAATCTTGCTCTCCCCTTCTCTCTTGTAGCCTGGGATATAGTTATGATGGCTGGAGCTGCAGAGCTCATCTTGGACCATGAGACCAAGGACTATGTACGGGATGGTAAGTCAGAGCTAGAAGGAGCAGAATCTGGGATGAATCATGGAAGCACCGTGCCAGCCGTGGACTGCCTCCCTTGGGCTTCTTTTACAGACATGTGTTTAAGCCACTATTTGTCAGGTCTCTCCTAATCAGAGATGAAAGTAGTTCCTAATTAACATTGAATTTGTTACTGGAAATGGAGTCTGCAGTAATAGAACCCAAAATGTGACATTCATTTAGTGAAAGAGAGGGAAAGTCAACATTAAGGATTCAATTATTGCAGGCTGGGATTTCAAATATAGCCACATATATTTTTTGACATGCCTCCTATCAAGAGATGGGATGGATCTTTGTCCCCTCCCCTTAAATCTAGGCTGGCTTGTGAAAGCTTCTGCCAATAGAGTTACTGTGAAAGTGAGGGTATGGGACTTCTGACACCAGGTCATAATATGCCATGCACCTGCCACCGTGTGACATCACTCTTGGAGCCCTGAGCTGCCATTTAAGAAGGCTGATTATCTTGAAACCACCATACTAGGGAGGTCACATGAAGGTGCACTACAATCAAATGGAAACTGTCCTTCATCCCTCTCCACCCTCCCCCCTCAGGCACCAGACCTGTGAATGAAGGTACTGTCTCAGAGGCGGATCCTTCAGCTCCAGCTATTCCAGATTTCAGCCATCTGAGTCCTCCCCAGGCAGTCCAAGTCATTTGTGCTGAGGCCCCACACATGTATAAGCGTTGTCCTTGCTGTGCCCTTTCTGAATTCCTGACCCACAGAATCTGTGGGTGTCATAAAATGGTGGTTATTTTAGGCCATGATATTATGGGTTTTTGTTTGCTTTGTTTTTGTTTGTTTGCTAAGCAACAGATAATTGGAACAACTGGTAATTCTCATTATCTTGTTAAGATAAAAGTTTAACTTTCTGTCACAGGAAAGAAATTCAGAGCTAGGCAGACCAGGGCTAGTTTGGTGTGTTCATTGTGGATGGCTGGAGCTCCAGCAGCCATATTGGACCAGAAGGCAAGCTTGAGGATGGCAGAAGAGCTGAAAGGAGCCTGGGTCTCCAATAAGAAAGAGAGGAATAAATTTCTTCTATCTTCTTTAAGTCACTCTAACTTTTGATCTTTTGATTATATAATAAAAAGTAGGGGCACCTGGGTGGTTCAGTGGGTTAAGCATCTGACCCTTGATTTTATTTTTTTTTATTTTTTATTTTTTTAATTTTTTTTAACGTTTTATTTATTTTTGAGACAGGGAGAGACAGAGCATGAACAGGGGAGGGTCAGCGAGAGGGAGACACAGAATCTGAAACAGGCTCCAGGCTCTGAGCTGTCAGCACAGAGCCCAACGCGGGGCTCGAACTCACGGACCGCGAGATCATGACCTGAGCCGAAGTCGGCCGCTTAACCGACTGAGCCACCCAGGCGCCCCTGACCCTTGATTTTAGCTCAGGTCACGATCTCACAGTTCCTGAGATGGGGCCCTGTGTCAGGCTCTGTGATGACAGCGTGGAACCCACATGGGATTCTCTCTCTCTCTCTCTCTGCCCCTCCCCTGCTCATACACACACTTTTTCTCAAAATAAATAATTTAAAAAAAAGTAATGCTAACTGGTATGGAATTTGAATACATGAATCAAGAACTTAGGAAACTGGTTTGGCTAGAGCTAAAGGTTTGAGAATTTTCAAGATGGAAGTGGTAATTGAAGTCCTGGGTGTTGACGCATTTGCCTAAGGAGAGTATGGAGCGAACAGAGAGGAGAGCTGAGGAGAGCACCCCAGGGGATACCAGCAGTTAATGGAGAGCAGGGGAGGTGAGACCAGAGGAAGGGCTGAAACGTGGGAAGAAATCCAAGATGGATGGGTGTCCAGCAAATCTGGCCCTTTCCACCTAGGGGGAGCCTGGCTGGCAACCCTTAATGCGTGCCCCGTGTGTATGCAGCTAATATGGACCTTTCCCTCTGTTTTGCAAAGCGTTGTTTTTATGAAGCCCTCCTACGTGGGACCAGAAGGAAGCTCCTTGAGGTGTGGGGTCAATTGTTAATCGTTTTTATTGTCCCAGGGCCTACAACAGTGACCGGCATGTAGGCATGTAGCGAGAGGGTGATAAATATTTGCAGGCAGGTCTGAATGGAACGGTTGTTGGCAAGGAAGCCGTGGGAAGGGAGGGTTTCAGGAAGGAGGAGTGGTCTGTGATGGCAAATATTGAGAACAATCAAGTAAGATAAGGCCTGTAAAGGGCCGGTGCCATTTGGCTCAGTGTATCTGGTAATTAGGGCATTGGCGACCTTGGGGAGAAGTGTTTTTGTGGGGAAATAGGGACAGAAAACATCCGCCGTGGGCCAGGTTGAGCTGCGTGGCAGTATGGCATCCTGGCCACTCTCATGGGAAGGTAAAGGGGAGACAAGCAGGGACGGACACTGGGGGAGAGAGGACTTTTATTTGATTTTTTTCTATTTAAGTGTATGATGGACAGAGAGCAGAGGGTCTGAGGAGGGAGCCTCCCTGGCCTCCCCACCACTGTACCCTTGCCTCTGTCAGGGTCGATGACGCTTTGTCCTTACCCCTTGTGCGGTCCTGGCTCTTCTCCTGCTCTGTGACGTTGCCGGCATTGTTTCAGAAGTGAAGTCACTATTTAATTTCTCAAATTCATATAAAAATCTTGTCATGTCCCCCCCCCCGCCCCATCCTGCCCTGCCCCAATTCAAATCTAAGTTCCTGGAAAGCAGAGGCTGTTTAGTGACCGCTGTGCTCCGTAGGTGCTCAGCTGGGGCCGGCTGCCTGTCCTTCTGCTCGCAGTGCTTCCTGAAACCATCCGAACCTCAAAGGGCACCAGGCGGCAAGAGCCGGTGTCCCATTGGTTGCCGACATGGCTTCCTAAAAACAGAAGAAACGGCGGCCTTCTCACGCCGCGGGCTGGCCTTGGTGTGTGAGAAGCCCAGGCGGGGACAAGGGCAGGAGTTAGGCATGTTTTGCGGCACCAGATAATGAATGAAGGTGAGTCAACGGCGTTTACTCACATGGCCATTTTATTCTGTGCTCAAATAATACAATGGTTTTATAAGCCTCACACTTTGATGAATCTAAGGCAGGGCTGCCTTCATCTTATAACACACAGGTCTTGTGGCCTGACCTACTCTGCTAATTTAAGGAGAGCCCGTTTGCTGCAGATGGAAAGAAAAGATGTCAAAGTGGAGGCTGTTGGCTGTTCTGGTGGAGGAGACGGGTGGCGTCCCAGGTCGGCATTATCTGGGTGGGGACCGGTTTTGCAGGTTTGGAAGCCTTGTTTACCAGTGGTTCAGGTGAGCTGATTAATTCCTGCTTTCCCAGCTTATAGGAGAGTATGGCGCGAGTCCACGCCGCTCAAATTTAATATGTGTAGCCATTATGGGGATGAGGGTCTGGGGGAAGGGCAGCAGAGAGGAGGTGAGAATCTCCTTAAAATGCAGACTCTGATTCAGCAGAGCTGGGGTGGGGCCTGAGGTTCTGCATTTCTAACCAGTGGCCCACCAAGGATGTATTTTGGAAGTTGCTTTTTCTAAACTTTCGTTACTTATCGTCACCCATCTCCTAACAACCAAAGGACTGCCTATGGGAGCATAGAGGCCAAGAAAGAGGGCCCTATGTTCCATGTTTGCTGGGACCACGTGCCTTTCTGGGCACACCTTCCATTGGCCTGGACATCTCAATGGCTCAGGTTATACAGTTCTTTAGTCAAGTTCCCAGCCTGATGGGAGACCTGGATACTTTGACTGGGCTTCTGTGTCCTGGGCCTTTCCCCAGTGATTTATCTGCAAACCATCTACAAGGATGGGCTTCTTCCTCAGGGCTAACCGAGTCTTTTAAAGGTTGATCCTTCCTAATTTCATTCTTTTGGGGGTGACTCTCCAAGAGGTGGGACGTGCTGGCCATTGTGTTTACATGATAAATAAGAGGAATCCCATTTAGAAATAAATAATCCCATCTGGAAACCAGAGAGGAAGGTGATAAGAGAATTCAGCGGTGCTCCTGGAGCAGGTTGGTCAGCGAGTGCCAGCCTGATGCCTGAATCCATTTACCTACTCAAACGTCCCTCAGCTGCATCCCAGATCCTTGTTCCGTGAACCTGAGCTGTAGACTGGGGCTTTGCCTGGCATTTCATTGGAGCTGGGGGCCCAGATGGGGCTGCGTGGTTGGGATCTCAGGAATCACCAGTCCTGGGGCTCTGATTGGCTGCAGGGGGGGCTGCTGAAACCCATCAGTCACCTGTTTGGCTTTGTTGTTGAAGAGACCAGGATATCTAGCACTCTGTCTAGATCTTCTAGCATCACGCCATCTATTAATACCCTGATTCATAAAAATGAAAACCACAAAATATCATAGCCTATAAAAATCACAAGAACATAATTGCCTTAAATTTAAAAAGTTGTTTTTCCAGAGAACACAGAGTGTTCCTCAGGTCCTCTTGTGCACTCCTGGAGGCCCTCCGTGCCAGGAGGCAGAGAGCAGTAGAGTCGAGAGGGCTTTGAGCTCCACTGTGCAGGCCGAGTTTCTTAGGAACTAGCCTCTTCTTCAGGCCACTTTGGACATGTGTGGGAGCCTGTGGCTATTGGGCCCTTTTCCCTGCAGGGAAAGGTTTAAAAAAATGCCTTGGGTATAAAATCCCAACACATGTCTGTGTTATCTTCCTTTGTCTCCTTTTCTCTCTCTCTCAACTTTTAAAAATGTTTATTTCTTTGATAGAAAGCCAGGGACAGCCTGCCTGCACCCCTCACCAGAGAGCAGAGCTGGTGTGCGGGCCAGTCAGCCCTGATGGGCTCCGTGCCTCTGACCATGGGAGCAGACACAGGATCGGTGAGGCTCCCTAGGACTTAGGAGGGACACTGGCTCTTCAGGCGTTTCTTCTTCTCCACCGCCAGTCTCAAGGCCTGAAAGAGCTTGTCTTTGTTATTCAGGATGTTGTACTCAGAGAGCTTCACTAGCTTGTCAAAGGCGGCCTCTGTGTATGTCAGCTCCTTGGTAGCATATGGAGTTTTGGGGCCATAAATGTCAACGTGGCCCTGCTCCAGCTCCTCGGGGCTCCTCTCCACACCTGGAGGTGGCAGAAGCACTTGCTATACATGGAAGGTTGTAATGACTTGTTTCTGCATCTCTCCCTATGGCCTGTCTCAGCCCACACGGGCGCACACACCTGCATGAAAACGTGCACACACATGCACACACATGCACACGCACACCTCCAAGCTCCTCAGGGGCAGGGATGTGACTTGCACATCTTAGGGCCGCCCAGGCATGACACAGTGCCAGGCACACAGTTGGATGTCAATAAATGCTGAATGACTGAAAGAGTAGAAGACGGCACTGCTGGCTCATGGAGGGGTGGGGGGGCCTTTCTTTCTTCCTAAAGCCACAGTTGACTCAGATTAGAGCTAAGCCAGGCTTTCCTGTTAGTAAAGTCAAAAGACTGCACAAGTCTAAAGATAGGAGCTCCTGGCCCAAGGCTAGCAGGTGGCGGGAGCCAAGCTCAGAGGTGGCTTACCTGGGGCCTTGTACTTCTGGAAGGTGTCATTGATGAGTGGGAAGAAAATCACAATGGGAGCATCAGGTTCTTGGGAGTTCTCTATCAGGTAGCACTCCTTGAGATTTTCGTCCCCCTCTTGCACTTCGTATTTGGGGAAGGGGATATTCTGCACAGAGCAGTACTCACAGGTTTGTTTCATGGGCTGGAATAACACAAGAGGACATGTTTGAGTATTAGGAGTGGTGGGGGTGGGTAAGAAACATGAACTTCTTAGACCCAGCTTCCTGATTTCCCCTGCTAACAACTCAGGTCTCCAACTACTCTGCCTGTTTGTGCTATTTTTAGAACAAAGAGCCTGAGGCAGTAGGTTGGTCTGTGTCCAAGTGAAAGCTCCTTCTGAAGGTGGATGGAGCTCTTTCAATGATGCTTCACCCAAACACAACCTGGGTAGATGGGGGTGGCAGCCTGAGGGTGACTGGAGCCACACCAGGGATAGCCATGTCTGGTCAGGCTCCTGTGCGATGTGCATGGCCCTGGGAACTGACAAAGGGCCGACTCTGAAAAAGCATCTTTATAAACATGATGTCACAGAAAGAGCAAGTGGGCTGAGAGAATCAGAATCCCCTTCATTCTGCCCCCTGTTCTAAGCTCACTAGCTGTGTGATAATAAGCAAGCCACTTCTACTGTCTGTGCCTCAGTTTCCTAAACCTGTAACATGGGAATAATAGCAGTTTTTTCATTGTCTCAAAGAGCTGGTATAAAGATAAGGTGAGAGCGTGTGTAGGAAAGTACATTGTCGCTCATTGACAAACTGAAGTCATCGTCATTGGTGTCATGCTTTATCATTGGTCTATACTTCCCTTTCCTGGGCTTCAGAATAGGACTGTACGAAAGTAGACCAAAAAACAATTTCTTTCCCTTAAAAGGCCAGAACTTTTCAAAGGTAAATAGAGAAAAATAAATAAAAAACCTCTGGTCCTGTTCCTAATATAATTACATGGAGGGTCATATTTTCTAGGGAAAGGGGCAATGTGATTATTTTGAAAATAGGACATCATAAGCTCTCAAAATGGTACAAAACTTTAGAATTGACCGGACTCTATTAAGGTTATTTTTAATTTTTTTTTTTTTTGCAGCTTAAGAATTGCCAAATACAGCAAATGCTCAGATAATAAAATTGCTCAGAAATAAAATTAGAACTCGCTCCGCGAATCTACTTAAACCTCACACTGCATGTGGAGGTCAGCTGGCTGCCCTCCCCTGAGGTTTGGACAGCCAACCTCATATCAGGCATAGAAGCTTGAGTTTCTCCGATGCTAAGTCTTTGGGCCTGTGGGGAATGCGTGTTCTCCCATTTCCCAGCTTCATGGGGCTCGTTCAGTGGCCTGCCTCAGAAGGGGCACAGCGCTCTGCTCATGCAGACTTTCTCTGTTACACTTGCCTTTGTCTGGGACCCAGCACAGTAATTGAGGTGGATGATGAGGTCAACTTTTCTCTCAGGCCTAAGGAGGGGCGGGTAGCTGGAATTGACAAAGAATGCAGTGTCCAACAGGCACAAATGGTTCACGGACCCCGTCAGCTGGTTCGGGAAAGTATCTAGCACCGTGTCTGAAAGCCAAGATATCCAGTTACCATCATGCACTGGCACCATGATCTCAGGATGGTCACAGGCACCTGGTAGGGACCTAATACCCTGCCTGGAGCTCCTTCACCTGGGACTGGCCCTTCCACTCTCCCGCTTGCAGCCAGGATGCCTGGTGAGTCACAGTGCCCTGTTGGGGTGGACTGATGAAGAACGGCATTATCTTGGGGCTGTTGCAAATCTTTTATGGGATACACATAGAAAACCTACTCTGACTCAGCCACGTTGCTTGTGGGGTTGCAGGGGTTTATAGGGTTTACAGGGTTTACACCCTATAAATCAGTACAGACCCTGGGCTCAGAGCTGTCCTTTCTGCCCCAGACAGTGAGAATGAGGATCATCAGGCCAGACCAAATCAGCCATTTGCAGGCTGCAGACAAGTAAAATACAAATGATGGTGGCAAGTCAATCTTTGAGCCTCAGAGGCGCTGGGAGACGCACTGAGTTGAAATTGCACGACCACAGTTTAAGACCTGGCTCTGCTGCTCGCCATGTGGGGGATTCTTGAGCTGGGCCATCCCTGCCCACCTCTAAGGCACCATTCACACTAAAAGGTGCCCCCAGAGCACAACTGAAGAAACTCAGGGCCCACATTTCCCCACCAGGGTCCCAGCTTCTACGTGCTGAAATTGTTGTACAGAGTCAACTAATTAAATAGGAGCACCGCTCCACCTACCGTTCACAGCCTCACCAAACATGGAATACACCATGGGGATAGACTGCCACCCAACCCGATGAGCGTGGTCAGGGGGATTTTGTCATCCTTTCTCCAGGGCAGCCTCAACATGCACTTCCCCTTTATCCAAGCAGAGGCAGGCAAGCAGCCAGGACGGGTTACCTCTCCACATGGAGAACTGGCTGTTCTGGAGGTAGTCGGTGTGCAGCTGCAGCCCCAACAGGAAGTTGTGGAACTCAGACACGAAGGACCTATGGGTGAGGATGCTGCGGAACGTATTGGACAACCAGGACCCTGGGATCACCACCGCGGTGTCCAAGATGTTGGCATCACATTTGGGGATTTCAGGCAGGAGTGGCTCATCTTCTGCAGGGGAGAGGGAGGAGAGAAGGCAGGTCACAAGACCTGGGGTCCCCAGATGGCCCAGGTGAAGCCATGCATTGTTACCTGGCACCCAGAGGTCAGCCACTGTAAGTGCAGCTCATACCTTTCTTGCCTAAGTTTTAAGGCCTTGGCCAGGAGGACCCAGGCGAGAGAACAGGGGAAGCATAATGGAGATGAGGGGTGATGACAGGCAAGGGGGGCGGGGTCCCAGAGAGGATAGGGAATCTGGAAGAGCCACCTTTAACTTTGCTCATAGATCCCTAACCCCTTAGTTCTCCTGGGCCCCGTGCCACTCTGCCAGCCCTTCCCCCACCCCCCATCAGGCCACAGCTGGCCCCTGAAGCTTGTGAATAGGCCTCGATGGCTCTCCCCTCTGGGCAGGGAAGACCTATCCCTAGCTGCCTTCTCATCTCTGCAAACCAGAGGTGATGCTAAAACACATGGCAGGTGGACTGGTCCTCAGTTTGTGATCCTTCCCTCCCCCCATCGCCCAAGCAACAGGGGAAGCCACTTGGTCACCCACCGATGTCGTGCACTTTATCCCTCGTCCACCTGTGGAAAAACTCCTCTGAGGTATGGGACAGATTCCAGGCATCGAGCAAGTTCAGGGAGAAGATGCTGCTCCACAAACCTAGGGACCAAGGCCAGCCGTGAGCAGTTCTATCCCAGAGCCCCCACCCAGACACTGACTGTTTCTACCTTGGCCTTGATGTTCCCTTCCAGTCAGGCTGCTCAGGAGGTGGGATAGACTTTGATTTCCCTCTCCCCCCAGTGCAGCTGGACACACGGGACTGATGAGGGCTTGCTGGCAAATGCAGGAGGGTCACATGCTCAAGGATAACCCAAATCGGCAGCAGCACCCAGGACAAGATCCTGGGGGAACAGAGCAGGCTTCCCTGTCACTCCTCTAATTCAAAGGCGGGGCCTGCCCAGCATGGGGCCTGC